ATGCAATTAACCGTTAAGTTTACGGTAGGAAACATTTCTTTACCTTTACGGTTTTGAAACAGTTTAAAACTGTCGGAGCTAAAAAAAAAACTGCGAATGCAAAAGTATACGGTTTTGTGACCATTTACAACCATTGTTTCAAAACCATTAAAATCAAATTTACTTTGGCAATAAAGTAAGATTGTGGTTTAGTTGTGTTTTGTCAAGTGAACAGTGGAATATGGCTTAATTAGTTTATCTGATGGTGCTTTCTAACGTGAGAGACTTTAAATGTTTGACATTTTGTATAAAGCAGCTCTGTGGAGCTGCCATCTATTCGTATCCTGTGTTTCGTATCCCAATAGCTCATTGTCTCCAAGTGATGAGGACAAGACACTAGAAATTATTCAATGAAGGAATGGAGGAAATTTCACGGTGTCAGCGCTTGGATTCGAACCCTCTTTTAGTCGTTCATGAGCTTGACAGACTAGCTCTCTCGGCTAGAGTGTCTACATCCCCNTGTCTCCCCCCCCCCCCCTCCCCACCTGCAAGGAGCAAAGTATAATCATAAGGTGGGCATAGTTTACTCGGATTAAACTCTTTTGTTTAATCATATTAGGGGAAAACAGTCAACCAACGATTTTTCTTATAGTTAACAATTTGTAACCATTTTTTTATGGTTATTTGACTGGTTTGGTTGAATATAGTAAAATAACAATTGAATTGATCGTTATTTAACCAATTTATTTACTTTCTTGTTGTTTTACTTATTTTCAAAATTTTCGAACAATATTTAAAGAAATTTTGAATGAAATATTTTTCTCTTATTCACCTCAGAACGAAACTTTTGATGTGTCAGACGTTTCAAAATTTGAAAATGTATCGGAAAAATAAAAAACAAGACACTCCAATCCGCAGTGATGGCCGGATTCGAGTACTCGTTTTGTTCAGCTAATTTATGATTTCCCTCTTCACTTAACACAAATCCAGATGAGGTTAATTTAAATAGAAAATCCAACCTTAAATGAGTTTTATAACAATTTTCAATCAGGTAGTTTCCTTGTCTTCTAAGATGAATTAAAAATTAAAAGACTCAAGGTTAATTGATATCACCAAAATTATGTGAGGGATTTGTTGTTCAATGTCGATGATAAATTGAGAAAAAAATTTGTGACAAAATGATGAAGATCTTCGTATGAACTTTACATCTTTGATATCTTTGCTAACTTGTTTTCAAATTTACAATTTTAAATTTCTCAATTTGTCAAAAAGAAAAGGTATTCACGCTTATTATGTTTTGCGTACACTGATTATTCCACTTCAACAATTTACAATTGGTCTCAAGTTTTCAAAGCTAATTTTTGATTTTTTTTCCCTTGGAAGACTACGTTTTAATATCTATAGAAAACAGTCTTAATTTATGTAATTGTGATATGGTAATTAAATATGTCTTTACCAACAGAATTTCAGATTTATTTGTACCTTCATCTAAAACAAACAGCAACAGAAAATTAAGGATTTAGGCGGATGTTCTATTTAATTATAATCTCGCAGCAATACCTTCAACAATTTTCTTATTGATAATATTTTTTTCTTAACAATAGCTTATTTTATTTAATTGTAACATTGTAACTAAATTGAAGCTTTATCATAAAAAACAAAAGAACTACATTCATAGATATATTTTGAGAATTGATGCTTAGATTAGATGTTTCAAAAAGAAGATTCAGCGGGAAATAATTAAAAACATATGTCACGCATTAAAAAAAATTAAAACTTTAAGACATCTGTTATTTGAAATTAAAAGAAATTATTTCAATAAAGAATACTAGAAGCTTTCTGCAGAAGACATAATATATTTGACATAAGCTAATTCTTTAAATTAAATAATAAGACAAGGATTATTTTTTTCAAATAATACATATCTACAAAAAAAAGAAATTTGAAATAATTATTTTAAAAGGTATTAACTAGAAAAAATTGAAATATGCTATCAAACATTTAAAAATCCATGTCCTGAGCTGTGTAAAAATTCAAGATTATAATCTGCTATGGAACTATTTTAAATACTTTACGCTTAAAAAGAAACATTTGAAATGTTTAAGACGTTTAAATGCAAAATATGTTCCATGTCTTTTTTTTTTCGAAGTAACTAATCTTTTAAATTGGGATTTTTAATTTGTGAGAAGAATCAAGTTTTAAAAAGCTGTATTTTCATTTGTAATATAAAGTAAAATAAGTTTCTAGTGATTTTTGCTCTCTTTAAAAAAATTTTGGTTGCTTTAAATATATTTTCTAATATCATTTCACATTTTGGACTTATAGTAAATTCATTGAAAATAATAACTATTTTTTGAATAGCAGCTCTAATTTGTATGAGTAAAAATTTAAATACAGAAAGTAAGTTCACCTGCTAAGATAACGAGTAAACGTTTCCTAACATTTATTTTTCTTTTTTATTAATTTTTTTTTTGTAATTTAATATCTTTATTCCTTTTTCTGATTCAGATATAGACAGTTATTTACATTATTCATGATTCGAATTTATATTTTGATATAGATAGATGGATATTTAAAATAGAAGCAAAGTAGAACAGCAAATTGAATAAGAAAAAACGATAAATTTTTCTCTACGCAAATCTTATAGAATTTTGTTTTTACTCAGTCAGAGTTTAAATGTTCAGGAAATCCTCAGCCACACTATATATATGTGCTATCGATATCGTTTGAATATTTATTTTTCTTTTTTATTAACAAAATTAAATTTTGAACTGTTCAAATATTATAAAATTCGATTTGTACGTTTAACCCATATTCCATTATGTGGATGCGTTGTTTGAAAACAATGATTTAGTCATCCTGAACAATTTTTAAATAAAGATAAGTTCTTTATTCAGGTATTAAAATTAATCTGTTCATGAAACAGTTAAAAGACATTGAGAATTCTCCTGCATCACATCATGCGATATTTAACTTCATATTATATCTGTATTTTCGTATTTTTAAATCTGCTTCATCATTAACTGTAGTATTATGCTATCAAACTTGACAATTTTTATTTATAAACATTTCCTCGATATAATCCTAGTAAATATATTGCACAAGAATAAATATCTTCCACTTTCGTACCTTTACATCTAGGATTAAAAAAATCGCTTGCAGAACATAATTCCCAAAGCGATATTTTATACACTTAATTTCTAGTTTCACTTTTGTAGATTTCGCCGAAAATAGAAATTTTTGATGCGACATTATTAATTTGAACGCCTGTAGCTATAATTTATAAGCAACTGGAGCAAGATTAAAAGAAATTTTATATTGAGAAATCTTAAAATTCATATAGTGTGAATAGATTAGCCTATGATACCGTGATTAAAATAAACTCCTTAAGTTTTTAAGGGATTAAAATGAAACAAAGAATAAAAAAAAACAGTATGGTGACCAAAGTTGTGAGTTTAAAAACGAATGTACCAAACATCAACCTAAACAATCATAACATCAGGAATTTTCTTGAATCATATAGAGCTAAAATTAACTTCTTATAATAACAGTATTTTCATATGTTTAAATGTGTTTATTACTATCTACAGTTCCGAAACTTAAAAATATTTATTTATAAATATTTACTTGACATACATTTAACACAAAATGTTAAAAAGAGATTTCTTAAAAATTTCATTACGAAAATAAAAATAAAATTTTTAAAGAAAAGAGGCATATTGCTGACATGTTTTCAATATGTATATTTTTAAGTTATATTGAACATTGAAATCTACTATATTGACGTAAGGATTAAATTTACATTCAAATGTGCTTTTTAATAGAAAAAATTCTCAATTACTTACTAAATCTTCTCAAAATAAATACAATTCCCAATGAGTTATAGTTACAAGTTATATTGTAACTTATTGTTATGGTAAGGTGGCTTTAAATCATGGATGGTTGAAATCGCTTCATCATCACTCTGAACCAGTTGAAGTGCTCCGATTAGAATAATCTTGATTAGAATAAACTTGAAGGGAATCTCAATATTGGAACTAGTTAATAGAGAATGTATAAGAGGTCTTTATAGAACGGTTCCACAATTAGAGCACCAACACAACACAGCCCCGCACCTGACCAAATAATAATATTCTTCGTTGTTAAATGATCCATATCTTCAACTGCCTTCGTAAAATATCGAATATTATGCTAGCTGCAATTTAAACAGCATTGAATTTAAATTTAATTAAAGGGAGAAGATTCCTCAAAACTTAATACATTTTTATATTTCTGTATGCATGAATAGGAGTACTTTGGACATAAAAACTTTTCTATTATTCACAATTAAAACTTCTAAAACTGATTAAATTAACATTATTATTTATAAAGGCAATGGATATGTCAAAAAATATTCAATCCTCTTCAACGTGCAATTTTACATCATTCTTTCTGCTCTTTTTAGATTCGATTAGAATTCAAAATTCTAGAAATTTTAGAATAAAAAAAAAATTACTAGGTTTACTATTTCTCTAACTATTCGCATAAATGAATATTTTGTACTAAGATTTCTTTCCTAATCACTCTACTTCCATCACAAATAATATTTAATAATTCATTTTTATTAATTTATATCGTTAAAATGAAATACTTTAAAACCAAAAAACTGGCAGCAAAATATTCACACAAAAAAAATCGTCTGAAAAGTCTATTTTTTACATTTTAAATAATTTTTATTTCTAAAAATTATTTTTTCGTTTAAAATTCTTTGCTATTAATTTCTGTTTTCAGAATATCAAATTAAGAAGGTTTTTTATTGAGTTGTATTGAGTTTTTTAAAGTTGTTTTGAAAATTGTGATATAGTCTCTAGAGACGAAAGAGCTCTACTGTAACTCCATACAAATCAGTATTTGTCCGAAAAAAGTATTTATTTACTTATAGGATGAATTTTTTAATTAGAGACGTATAAATTTCTTTATTTATGATGAGTTACTTTTATTTCTTAACTAAAATGAAATGAGTTTTTTTGTTTCCATTTTAGATTCAAAATGGCATCCGAGAGTTATCCCTCTTACTTTATATTTCTCGGTGTGATTTTGATGGTGGCAACGATTGCTCAGTGTGAAGACTACGGTTTGGAAGAGTAAGTATAAAGGGTTTAACTTACTATAAGAGCTTTTTTTTTATTGTAAGAGCCTTTTGATAAGTTTTTCACTATAAGAGTTTCTTACTACAAAATTCATATCATAAGATTTCAAAATACTAATGCAAGCGATAAAGCGAAGTAGTATTTTTTTTCCTAAAACGATGGAAAAATGACAATATTTCTAGTCCTAATTTATACAGCGATCCTCTGCGTTAGAAAGCTTCAAGCCATCGACACAACAAACGATTGAAATTTTTGCCACGCAAAGGCTCAAATTTTTTTCCATGAAATTTTCGCAACCATAATGTCTCCTGCTTGCAAGATCATGGCTCTTTCAATTTGAATGTTTTGTTTAATTTCCATTGCAGTTTTTTCATCAAAACAAAGTCATGCTTAGAAACATCAGTTCGCGTACGATTAGCGTACTAGTTGTTTTGAAACTCCTTTAAAGTTAGTGACACGTGGTCAATTTAACTGTAAGGCATCACTTAATATGGCAAATGGCCTTAAAATAATGCCTGCTACTTGCCCACTACTTTCAATTGCTACTTTTTTCATCGGAAATGCACCTTTTGGACATTTTATTATTTTTTTTAATAAATTTGGATTTATTAAATATTTCATAATATTCTGAAAACTCTTTATTTCACACTTGTTTCACACTATTTTTTATTATTTTAGAAATGAACCTTTTAATGTTTACCCTATTTTCAGAAATGTCTCAAAAGAAATGCTTTATGTTAATAGTGTCAAAAAATTTTTCAATTAGTCAAAATATGCCAATTTTTGAAGAAAAAAAAGGCTATTGTTTAAAATGCTGCAACTGTCCAATGACCAGTAGCAAAATTTTCTAATGTTGTTCTATAAATGGAAGCTTAGTTTCTCAGTGGATCATGGAGTAACCCTACCCAACAATATTAAGATACAAAAATTCAAAAAACACGAATAGAAATAATATATATGACTGACGGATCAAAGTTGCTATTGTATACAAATGACTTGCTCACATCAATCATTTTATAGACTAATTGATTTCTCATTGCTAGAATGAAATTAAATGAAAACATTTCTGCCTCAATCTTGCCAATAATGAACAGCCCAGCTTATTTACAGAGCACTTAAAAGCCAGAAAATAACATCACTTTATAGCCCTGACCTCTTTTCTTCAGAATGGGTAATAACCACGATTGATGCTTCTTTAATTCAGGGCAGGAAATTTCAATGGGATACCTGCAAGTGACGTAGTATAGTTGATCCTGATGGGTTGTTGAAACGTGGCATTTATTTACATTGGCAACTGTTCTTTCCATTCTATTTAGAGTAAGCCCTTCGAGTATCTATTCTCTTAAGTGACTCATTCTAAATTCTTTCACAAAGATTCTTTCACTATATATTTACACAAAGACTTAACTCAAAAACAGGCACGAAGCCATATGCGGAACATATACAAACTAATTATGCATCGAAGTTGCCAGGTACACGAAACAAAAATATATCATGGTTACAATAAAATACATAAACAATTAATAAATCTAGGTTAAGTAAAAGAAGTAGACAAGAAAGAATTTTATTTCAACTCATTCTATTCGCGATACGGCTCTTAACTTATCGTTATTTACATTCTAACTTACGTAGAGAAACTTAGCTCAACTTTAATACGCCAGTTTGCTGATAAGGAATAGCTGACGTCATGGGTCACGTGTTTTGGAATGGGAGGTTTTTTTCTTCTTGAAGTGCAAGTGCCCAATTCTAAAAGTTCTAGCCAGGCTAAAACTTTTGCTCTCCTCTATTTTTACAAAAAGTATGAATATTTTTTAAAATATTGATAAATGTAGTAGAAAGATCTTTTTACTGTCCAAACTCCTAAAATAATGTAGAAACTGAAAAATGGGAATATATTTATTGCTGAGTAACAACAATAGTAACTTAAAATAAGGTTCCCGTAAGATCTCAATGGTTTCAATGTCATCCACTTAAGTCATTAAAATAAGAAATCTATCAGAAAATTAAAATATCAGAAACACAATCTGTCAATTGCAGCCCTGATATCACAGTCTGTAACTCTCACAGTTATGTTCGAATTAAACTCAGTTTAATTAGAGTCAAACTCTGTAGCGAATCCTAAATATCAGTCGCCAATAGTGAGCGGACGAATGAAAAATTCGTGTCTCGCTTTAGATACTAAACTTTTTTTTAAAAATATATTGTGGAGCACAGCACCTTGCAGTCTGACCCTGCTTCCAATTCCATTCCGGAAGCCAAAAATAAGAACAAAAAACAAGGACGGGGAACTAAAATTTCTATGTTAAGTTTGGTATTTATCATCGTCACGAGGCTACTGTAACATAATTTTATTTTCAGTCATCATCACCATTTGGCACGACATTCCCAGGTAAGCCTTGGCCTTCTCTAGAACATTTTTCCATGTCGTGCTCCTTATTGCAGATCTTACTTGTCCAATAGACAAATTGTCGTATAATCTGCATTAATACAGTTCAACCAATGAAACTTAGATGCTAGGCTAGTAGTATTTAAGCAGAAAATGTATCTTGTAAATGCTATTCTGTTCAAATTTAAAACTTTCAATGTTTAAATTTAAAACCTCAATGCTCCTGTGTTTCAGTTTTATTTCTTTTTTATTTCTTTATTTTGGTTTTATTCTTCTTTCAATTACACCTTTCACTAAAAAGAGTACGTTTCATCAAAATACCTTCATTACGTACCCATAACCACAATAAGAGTAGTACCTATTACCACAATTAACAAACCATCATGACGTCAATAATAGTAAAGTGATTTTTAGCCCCTCCCCAGGAACGGAATAATATCCAGAAATGTAATTTCTACCTCACGTTTTGAGATTAATTGATTTTTAAAACATTGAGTTCATAGAAACAAAGTATTAGCAATTTCCCATTCCATATCTTAAATATTATAAAGTCAAAAATTTTATTTAAATTATTCATGCATTGATTTTTCAGTAATGTGAAAGAGCTTTTAGCCAGAAGAAAAAATTTGGATTATGTCCGACAACTGGTAGAAGACATGGGTAATCAACTGAATAAATTACAGTAAGTAAAAAATTTTATTTCATTTTTAAAGCTCTTTCTATCTACACTCATTCATTGTTATTTCAAATAGGTGACAACAATGCGTAAAATATTATTCAAAAAATTAGTACTAATTCGCCCAAGACTATAAAAAATAAATTTGATTTCGCTACATCTCGAGAGCTTTATAAGTGAATTTGAAAAAAAATTTCACACACTTATAAAATTCTATTATCCAAAGATAATTCCATGCAAAAAATAACTTCTAGTAAGTATTTATTAATTTTTATTATTTTATTTAATAATAGTGGAAAAAATGTTGAATTGTAAGGCATACATTTTCTTGCATTATTTTGAAGAATATAATTTTACATGGAAAATAAAAAATTTGAACAAAATCGGTTAAATTGCTCCTGAGAAATTGAATTTCGAAAGAATCAGATATTTAAAATACCATACCCCTCGAACCATTAAGATTGAATCCTAGACCATGAAAATCCGATTATTAGATCAAAAGTTTTTTAGAGTGGTCCTTATTTGAGGGGGGGGGGTGCACTGTGCATTTTCAAAGAAAACATGGACCATTATTTATTTATTTTGGAAATTTAACGTTATGACTAAACTAGTAATATCAAATACATCCTTTACAAATATTAAATGAAATACATATCATCTTAGTAATAATTATTTTTTAACATTTAATTTTTAATTGCCGGATTTTCGCAAGATTTTTATTATTGACAATACATAATCAAAATGTTGCTTTATAATTGATAATAGTGACTTTTATATACTTTGAACACTTTTAGTCTTTTGTTCAACATACTTTAGAGCGATGTGACAAACTTAGGTGAAGAAAACTCGTTCATCAACTTCATAATAAAAAATAAAATATTAAGTTTAAACTGATAGGACAACATAAAGTTATTAAAGGATAAATATTACTGTCATTTTTAAGTTATTCTTGAAATGTTTGAAAATGTTATGAATAAATTATTTAAAATTATTCTAATTTTTGTAGCCATTTACTTTCAAAAGGAAATTTTGACAGGAAAATGACTCTCCTATAAAAAGCAGCAGTAAAGTTATTGACAGTTTTTTTTTTTTCAAATCTTTCTTATTATTAAATAAAATTGCATCCTAAAATACTAAAGTAAAATTCTAAAGATGGGATATTTAAATTAAATTAATTAAGGCATGAAAAAAATATTAAAGGTAATTATTGAAGTCCAAACGATAAATTTTGGTAGGCCATTAATAATTATTTTGTCAACGCAATAATAAATAATTGCTGATGATTACCTAATTCTATCGTCTTTTCTCAACTTGCAACGAAGTGCAATGAACTAAAATTCAAATATGGATAGTACAGTAAATTCAAATATCGAAATGTTCTTAGAAATTGCCGATTTTCATCTTGTCGGATACCCTAAATTGTCTGAGACAAATTTTTTCAAAAATAGTTTTATATTTCTTAGCCACAATTTAAGTACCTTAAATTCAAAGTAGAAATTTTATTGCTTTCATGAAAAGCATTAATTATATTAAAAAAAAGACTTATCATTTAAATTTTTAAAAACACAATCGCTGATTTGGTGAGTTTTTTTCTGATTCCAAGGAAAAACATTTTAATCAGTGAGTAACTCTAAACTTAATTTTGTAAGCAAAATGTAAAGAAACAACTAGTGATTTACTTGTTTTTTAATTATCATTTGTTTGTTTTTTTGTTTTTTTGCAAGTGATAAAACTTAAAACACGAATGCTTTTTATTGTTATTAGCACAGAAGGAGTTGAATTTGCTTAAAAACTACAGTAGCTTAAAATAAAATAAGGATGGTAATAAAATTCGACATGTTTCAAACGTTCAAAAATAGGTATCATTTAACGCAAAGTTACCAACAAAAAAAGAAAAATGAAGGTGAAAAACAAAATGAGAAAAACTGCCCTAGCCAAGAGTGAAATAGTACAATATAAAAAACCAAGAAAAAACCTTGTGGCCAAGAAAGAGAAATCAGGGCGAAATGAATTTTCATACTTCTTTTACGTTTTTCCTCATTATTTTCAATTCTTGAAAATGGGCGCCTATGTTTGAGAGCTTGAAACGTATCGAATTTCATTACCTTCTTCTAAGCCAATGAAGTTTTCAATCAAGTTTATCTGTTCGATTCAGTTTTCGCGTGTTTTAGTATTCCTCACAAAAGTAAAAAGTTAACTCTTAGTTTCCATCCGCCAATGTGTAGTAGTTGAATAACAAACGATAATATATTTTTTTAAAAAGAATCACCAATATTTAAAAGTTTTTATCTCATATATTTCACAGCAAATGCTTTACACATTTTGTTTATATTTACAAAATCCCAGAAGTACAATCATAAATCACTTTAATTAATTTCTAATGAAGCTGTCTTCAAACTGAGGCTTTGTTGAAGACTCTTACTAATGTATTAACAGATTTTCCCATTTTGCTTTTAATAGATATTTTCAAAGAAACGGTTCCACTTTTCAAACCAAAAAAAAATCTCTTTCGTATCTGAAAACGAACCGAAACTGATAATGGCAATCATAAAGTTTTGAAATTCCGGAATTGAGTGCATCAACCATTTCAGTTTGAAAAACATTAAAAAGCACTTATTTTTTCCAATACCAATTTCACTGGCATCAGCGAGAGTGATAGAATTCCTAAAATAAAAGTAAATATTAGTTTTATTCCTGAAATAATATTTACTGTTTCACGTTTATAATTTTATACATTTGAAATGATTTAATTACTTTAAAGGAATGTTTCATGAAATCGATTTGAAAATAAATCTATAAGTATATTGATAATAATCATTTTATTAAGATTAAAGATTTATTATTTCAATGAACACAAATTTTCTCTACAATTTCAGACTAATGATGAGTGTGCGTAATCGTATGATTAAATTCTGGAAATGTTTGTTACAATAAACATGTTTATAAGCGATGTAAGTGTCTGAGACAGAATTACTTAATTATTCATTACTTAACTTCTTATTACAAATAAAAAATTTATAAGTTTTAAATTGTTAGAAAAATAAAGAATTTTTGTGGTGATATTTTTATTATACTATTTATCACTCATTGCTGCTTAATCATTGGTTTAGTCATTGCTGTTTCTAATTTTGTTCAACTTCACAAACATCAATGCTAGTTTTACATTGTAAATGCAATTATGAATTATTATGAGCTATCTTATTATTAGATATTATAAATAATTGAATTTATGATTCATTCCTTTCCTCCACAAGCATTTATAAATTCAATTAGGAAATTTTTAAGTATTATCGTTAGTATTATTACAAATAATTGTATTTATGATTCATTCCTTTCTTAAATAAACATTTTAGCAACTCTTTAGCATATATGGCAACGTTACTTTTAAAAAGTAACGAGTAAAAGTACAAGTATTTTTAAAAAAAGTAACGAGTAGAAAGTAAAAAGTTCTTATTTTAAAAAGTAACGAGTAAAAAGTACAAGTAAAAGTACAAGTACTAAACAAAAAAAGTAACGATTTAAAAGTACATTTCTAGGAAATCGAAAATTCAAAGTAACCTNATAATACACAATTATTACATCAAAGTGAAATATCTATAAAGCGAATTTAATATTTTTATGACGATAACGATGAATTTAAATTGCTAGATTTAGTAGAGTTTGTGAACGAAATCAAATTTAGAGTGACTAGTGAAATTAGTGACTATTGAAATTCCTGACTTAAAATAGGCCTAAAAATTTGTCAAGTAGACTCCTGATGTTTGGAAGTTATACGAAGTTGGGATATTATCGCAACACTTCAACATCTTCAAATATTGCAAATGTTAAATCTTATGGCTCATGTAAATATTAATTAAGTAAATTTCCGACCTGGGGCCACACGAAAGATTAGATAATTCTTAGAGTAATGGCGATAACCGTGGGCTATATAAATTCACAAAATAATGTTTACAAATTAATAAATCAAAAAATACTATAATTCATTGGACATTGCGATGTTTCACATTAACATATTTTTAAGTATTATAATTGACTATATTTAAATTAAACTTTTAAACGTATTTCCTTTGCACTACTTTGTTTAAGATAAATAAAGTATAATATGAAAATAGAGTTTAACCTCGCTATAAGGAACATGATATGGAATGAACACTCGGATAGTGTGAACATTTTTGAAGGTCCCTTTTGAACTATTCATTAAATAATGTTATTTTATTCGCTTATACTGAACATATAATGGTTCGGTATAAGAGTGAGATTCGGTCGAAATGGAGAGTTCGATTATAGTGATTTCAAATTTTCTTTTTGAAGGTATTTGAATAATGCGAAATGCTTAGTCTGTGTTATAAGTTCAAAAGAATGTAATTATGACTTTGAACCAAATATGAAGTAATACACATTATAAAGGAGTGTTTATAATGAGATATTTTGATGAAATAAATGATGTTCCAAAAAACAGTTATATGGGAGAGAGAATCCGGTTGCACAGAAATTCCAACTTTCCTCAAAAATGGAGGTAATAGAAATTTCTAAAAAATTCGCTTAGAGAGACTTCAGGTTATATTAAGAGCTTCATTGATTTTAAGTTTCTGATTGAAAATTTTATTGTAGAACGAAACTCGCTGTAAGGAAACTATATTATAGAAAGACTATATATTTAATTAGCTAATAATTCATAAAGCAAATTATGCACTATTGCATTCACTATTTCCAATAATACTACTGCAATATGCTAAAAAATTAGTTTTTCAAAAATATTGGATACAGTAAACCATCGTTTATAGCGGAATTATCGCTGTTTCGGGGTTTGACAGTAATAACCAGTTTAGTTCACAGTCTATGAGACAAATGGATTCAAGTTTAGTTATCTGTGACAAAAGTTCATTTATCTAGGATATAATAACGTTAAATTGATTTTTAATAATTTAAATCAGCTCTGTCAAATCTATTTAATGAAAATACACATTTGAGATATTCTTCCAATAAAAATGAATATCCCAAACTATTATGACAGTATTTAAACAGAATTTATGGCAGCAACTGATGCTTCGGATAATCAGTTTCTAGAAACAAAAATAAAGAAGCATCTCCTGATATAAATAATTTAAATAATCCTTGTTTTATACATTTAATTTTAAAAAAATGACTAGAATAAAATAAAATTATAGAAAACGAGATTTAATTCTTTATTCTTCCACTCAGTGACTAAATGTAACAAATGGCGATTAAAAATTGTCTGCCAGTAGCCACCGGATCCCCACTTTTTTTTTTGCCTAAAGTGCACCTCAAGTGCATAGTGTTATTACAATTTTTTAATCAATATGGTATTATTATAAATATTTTATAATCTTCTGAAAATTACTTTTTTTTAACGATTGATTCTTAAAATGTTTCTTCAGTTTAGAAATCAACCTTGCAATGTTTACCTTATTTTAAGAAATAATTCTAAAAAAATGCCTTACTTTATTAATGCCACAAAAATTTTTTTATTGTTTTAAATTTTTGAACGAGTGGCCACATGTTTTAAAACCGACCATTGTCAAAAATGCTACAGCCTGTCAGTAACAAAACGTCCTAATTTTGACCTATACTCGTGCATCAGAATAATCTATAAAATATGTTCTGCAATCTACATAGCTTACGGGAGCGAGAGCGAGTCGATCTTTTAAAGGCAACTCTTACGAATTTTAAATTTTCTTATAATAAAAACAATTATTCTAAACTTTTATTACAATTTTACAGTTATGGAAGCAGTTGAAGTGATGGAAAAGCAGTTCCTAAAACTAAAATTTTAAAAAAGTAATTACCCTTTAAGTCAGGTTGCCAAATAGGTAATTTAAATCTTTCAAATCGAACTCGCCCCCCGGGAAATTACGAAGCACACAGTGTTAATGAAAATGAGTTTTGAATTGTTCTATGTTGTCTTCAATTGTTCTATGTTGTCTTCAATGCTCTTTGTACGCTTGCAACCTTTTCCTGTGTATAATGTTTGTCCCATGTGAGTCCTGTGTTTGTTATTCTAGAAAACGAAATTGCGCCTTCAATGCGGGCATGAACGACGAATGTTCGATTAACAACATGAATAAGGATCTTGCTAACGACATGCATTGGTTAGGAAATGATTTACCAGGAAAGCGCAAGAGGGCTCAAAACCCATCTTACAAGGATGGCCAATCAGACATCGGCAGCTTTCTGAGGTCTATGAGAGTTCTAGCGGCCAATCACAAGCGCCGATAGAAGCAAGAAAAGTTATAACGAATCATTTACTGTTGTTTCATTCTGTTCTGTTGTGTTTGTGGTAAGACTATTAATTGTATTATCCAATTAAAATTTATTAACTTTCAGTCAATTTTTGAATAGGGTGTTTGCTTCTGAAAATTATACAAAATGTTCTAAATTTTTCAAACACGCATTATGGTTGGAAACATAAACGCCGATGTTAGCCAAGATTCAATTCAATGTAAATAGACAAAAATAGAAATTACCACTTATAGCAGTAGTAAGTGGAGAGTTATGGAGAGAAGATTTAAGTTTCAAATTAAATAAATAGATAGAAATTAGTGTTATTCATTGTCAGTGTCAACATCTCGACTTAAAAAGATTCTAAGATTCTTTATGATTATTCATGTCATTAAAAGAGCTGTATTCTCTTCTACTATTTTCATTTGAACTATTTACATTATTTTGTAGTTTCAAATATAACAACTCAAACTTATATTTATACTTATACATAAAATTATCGCAGGATTGTTTATTTGTGAGTCCCACTAAAAACAATCTATTCGTGTAGCTATAGCGCAAAGTTAACAAACATAGAAAACTAATTAAACTAGTCACGGGAACATCCATATTCTACTGCAACAAATTTTATTTGGCGGAGAAAATTTTCATTCCACGCATTTTTCTTTTTTTTTTTGTGTCATATTTTGATGACGTACACCAGTTAATTTTCAGTGTTAGGATTATTCTCATTTTCTTACGTGCAGGTGCAACTTGATACGAGGATTCCATATATGAATTGTTGATATCCTCTGTTTCTTGGGCATTTATTACTGTTTCGATATCATGAATAAACCCTGTTACAGTTAGACTTATATTCAGCATTCGAGCTAATGATTCATTAAAAATCTAAAATAGTTAATAGATTCACAGATAAGCTGTAATTTATTTACGTTGCACTAGAGCTGCATAATGGGTTATAGATGAGGACATCCCTGAGGAGGATCCGAAGATTTACAGATGAATAAGCTGAAAACGCATTTGTCTTTTTAAAGACTGTATTTTAAAGACATGTAAAAATGAAATAGGGATATCTTTAACGTTTCTTACTACATTCTAGTTACTTTTTGTACTCCTCAAAAATTGTGTTCGTTATGTCTTGTGGAAGTCTCTTGTATACTTTCCTATCGTCGCTTTGTATGCCGTCAACAATACGTGTCAAATAAGATACAATTTTAACTTTCATTCTTCCAACTAGCAAACGTGCATGCATTTTGAGAATACCTGGCGTGGAATGTGAACTTGGTGATCTCATCGGTGCCCAAAGCTACTGGAATGATTCTCCAGGAAAGAATCGAAGATCTCAGTACAGTTGCGAATTCAAAGTGGGAAATCCGGAAGGCTGTCTTGGTAAAATGGTAGAGGATGACAAGAAGGATAACTCCCATTGGGGTAATCCCGATGGACCTGGAAAGAAATAGGCTTCAATCATTTGATCAACGCACATTTAACAACTATTTTTGGTTAGCATATTTCTGTGGTGATGGGTTTTTAAATTTCAATTAAGTAAAATTGTTTGTCATATGGTAAAAAGACATGATAGCCCCCACTAAAAATAAGTTAGCGAATTCTAATCTAAAGATTTTATTTAAGAAATCTGAAGATTAAAAGATTTTATTTAAAAAAAAGTTTTTCAATTAAATTCGAAGGTACTGACCCACTTTTTAAACTAACTTTCTTTGCATTGTCTGCAGAATTTATTTTCTAGAGATCATTCATGAAAATCTTAATTCTACGAAATTTAGGATTAAAAAGTTATTTACTTTCTAAGAATCTCCATCTTTCCAATATCTTAGATGACTCAAAATTTTGCTTCCTAGACAATCTGGCACTATCGACCTGAAAGCTTCAAGTCGCAACGGAGAATCAAACTCCGGTCTTTCATAATTCATTCGTACACACTGCTACACATTTTGAAAGATATTGAGCCATAATAACATTCAAATTTTGTGTAACCTTAATATAGTGTCAAATTCAATGATATTCATTTTCATTTTAATTATAAATCTCACATTGAGCCTTAATAGGGCTCAAATTAATAGCAAATTTAGTATTGTATCAATTTGAAAGGTATCATTTTGTTTTAATTTATAAGCGACGTTGAACAGGTGACCCAATTTTGAATTTACGATTATCAATGTTCAACTGCTTAGTCTTGTAATTTTGAATCAACTCAGAAGACAAAGAAATTCCTATATCAAGCATTGAGGTAAACTAGTTCTCGTGGAGGTCTTTTAGATCGAAGTACCCGCAATCGCGTTACACGGAGAGGTAGTCACGAACCTCTCACAGTTAGTCTGACGGAAAGGGAATTCTAACTCATGAACCGTCTGCCTCTAAGGATGTTTTAGATCATTCCTTTGGTCGATGTCAGCTGGTTGCAGAATTCATATTAATCAGTCGTCACTGGAATTAAAACCTGAGTCAACTCATTGAGAGGTCCACGCTGTATCTCCGGAGCTACAGCGGCTCGAGCATTATCATTTTATTTTATAACCGTTATTGAACAACTGGTCCAAATTTGAGTTTACGGCTACAAATCATTTACGGCTATCTTATCATTTTTAACCCAATCAAAAAGACAAGGAAACACCGCTTATCACGTATTGTGAGAAATTAGCCTACGTGGAGGACGTTGTAATGAAGCTAACACACATATACGGTACACGGAAAAAAAGAAAATGAAAACCTCCCGTGGTTAGTCTGACGACAAGTGGACTGTAACTAATGATCCGTCTACCACTGAGGATATATTACGCCATCTCTGTGGCCAATACGAGCCTGAAGCAAAATTGGTCTCAGCGCACCATCGCTGGAATTCGAACCTAGCAACCTTATTGAGAGGCGAACGCTCAATAATTTGAGACACCACGGCTCAAAAGCGATACCATTTTTTTTAAATTTATAACTGTCATTCAACAGCAGATCCAATTCTGGGCTTACGACTGCCAACGTTCAACTCCGAGGTCTTGTAGTTTTGAACCCAATCTAAAAGACAATTGAACTCCTGGATCAAGTATTGGGAGAAAATTTCCATCTTGGAGGACTTTTTTGATGGAACTTACCTACATTTGCGTTACCCGATGAGGAAAACTACGAAAACCTCCCACGGTTAGTCTGACTGCAAAAGAAGTCTAACCTATGATCCATCCACCACTGAAGATATTAGAGCGATATCATTGTTTAGATTATTTCTAAAATTATGGAACTTCCTGCGCCTTACTAGCATTCTAATTTTATGTAAAATCAATGCGATGCCAAGTTGTACCAAACTATTACGCAAATTCATCCTTGCTAATTTATTACATGATACTACGGTTCAGCTGGAACGGAAATATGGTTCAATTTAACACATCATAAAGATTACAGAGATTTCATTTCACATTATAGTTAAAGTTTGTTACAGTGATTTATCGTAGCCTCTATTTTTTTTTATTTTTTTTATTTTTAGAATCTGTGATTAAGTTAAATTTTTAGTGCTTATAATTTAGTTCACTTAGCAATATTTTTTATAGGAATGCTTTCATTAAAAAGAAATAAGGCAATAACTTTATCATCTTTTATTTTTCAATTTGTGTAAAAATAATCAAGTCAAATCACACAGTTTAATAAATCAGAATAAGGTATTAAAATGGCAAGTTTAAATTGTTATTGCATTATTATATTTGAAAAGAATTTTTGCTCTAATCTTGTTTGCAAATATTAAATTGTTATTTATTTCGTAGACCTCGTTAAAATAAAAAGATTTCAAGGAAACTTAATACACCTTTATATTTACTTACTTACTGAAACAATGCAATGGAGAAAAATAACAAATAAAACCCCATTTTTACAAACTGTTGACTTTATTCACTATATTTGCAGTTCAAAATAAATTTATTGCTTTATTTAAGCAGATAAAAGGTATTATTTTTTTCCAAAACTAAAATATTTGCAATGGTTACTCAATAAAGAAATATTTAATTAATTAAGTGTTCTTTTTAAAAAGAAAATAAATGTTAATAAACCAAAAGAATTCGTATGTAGAATTGATTTTTTGAATAAAGAATTCAAATCTACTTTTTTTAAAACAATACCGAATAATTTTCTTTTCAGTTGATAAGTATTCTATTTTTATGAAAATATTATGATCTAATGAATATATCTTCAAATAAACTGTTGATTTTAAAATTTTGAATAATTGTTAAAGTTGGACTTTTATGATACAAAAGAATGCTTTAATGTAATTTAATTAAATTCGGCTGACTTTTTTTTAAATTTAATATTTCAAACTTTTATTTTTCTATTCCGGGATTAATCAGAACATTCTTAATGTATGCTCAAATGATATAAAATGCACTGTTAGAAATTTCTCGGAAAATAATGGTTAAATAATAAGTACTGGTTACTAAATTCAATCAAAACAATCAAATAACCAAACAAAAAGTTGTGCACTTTAATAATGAAGGAAATTTTGTTGACATTCAAATATCCATTTTTACAATGCTTAAAGTTGTTTGAATTATAACCCAAATAAGTAACACATGAATTACGATACATTTTTACGTCGATTATAAAGTACTATAGCAAACTTATGCATGAATTACGACATACTTTTGCGTTGTTTATGACGTACTATTGCGTATTTGTAATGAATTACGAGATACTTTTTACGTTGTTTATCACGTACTATTACAAACTTATACAAGAATTATGACACATTTTTATGCTGATTATAAAGTAATATTAAAACTTAAACATGAATAACGAATTATTTTTACGTTATTTATGGTGTACTATAAGAAAATTGCGCATGAATTACGACGTACTTTTACGTTGTTTATGACGTATTATTGCAAACTTAGACATGAATTGTGGTAAATTTTTACGTTATGATATATTTGCATGCTTATACATGAATTATGACTTGCTTTCACGCTCATTATGACATACTATTACATTCTTTATACTTGAAATATGACAAGTTTTTACATTCTCATGCATAAATTATGGCATACTTTATGCAAGAACTATAACATACTTGAAATGTCCAAACAAATGAATGAAAACTTCATATTACTATAAACTGAAAATTTTGTACTAAATATTTTTTCTTCTTCTTTGTTTCAGTTTTGTTCCTTTGCTTCGTAGATTGCAGTTGGTTATCCTCTTCACATAGAAAACCAGTGTTCATATCAAATCTGTTGTAATCACATGACAATGAATTGATTTGAGTTTTTTAATTTCCTTATTGATATAAAGGCATATTGTCAAGTGTTGATCTCAATTATCAAGACTGGATCATTCTTATTTAATTATATTTTCATAAATGGATTTGTTGATATGACACAGCTTTTAGAATGTAAATACTGTTTTCTTTAAGTAATTGGCGAAAATAAACAAAAATTATTTAAAAGTAGAGTGTTTAAAATGTAGAAGATTAATACCACGAGAAATAGCAGTGATCACAATAATCAGCATGTCTCTGCTTGAAAATGCATACTTCCAACAGTTCTTTTTTTATATGAATTAGGGGGATAAACCCCTGTTCGCCGACGCTCACCAACCCCGATGATTGCGTGTTGATGATCGGGGCAGAAATAATTGCTGTTTCTTGCCGTAAAACAGTTCAACTAAAAATACATGTACTGAAAAGAACACTTGTCCCACAACTTCCCATCTCCAAATATTTCTTTCCTTTATGATACTATTAATATCTATGAGTGAACATAAATCATTTTTCTAAGTAATCATTTTTTGAAATAATATTTAACATTAAAAGTATATTGATGCAACAACAAGTTTGGTGAGTTCACAGCCGTCATTTAATATTTTTGCCTATCTCACGAACGGATGTATATCGTAAATACAATTTTTGCATTCATCACTTTGTGCATGAAGCTGAAAGTTTAGTTCTAAATTATTTAACGAATCTCTTTAACTGTCATTCATAATAGTTTATTAATGTCATTCGCACCGAATAATAATAATCGTAAAACGGTAAATAAGACCAGACACCGATTCAAATAACTTTATCTTAAAATGTAACGTAGAATTACGTTATGCTAACAATAATAATAATAAAAATAATTCTCTTTAATTCTTAATTTAGAAAACAAAATCAAATACGCAATAACAACAGTACAGGTAAATACCTTTAAGTTAAGGATACAAAACAATTCGTGATAGCAAAGAACTATAGGGGGCGCTGTTGTATGAGACGAATTCCTGCAATTTCTATATGAACAGTCAATTTTAATTGTAGTTAATTCCACAAATTGAAATAAAAAATTTTCATGTTTTCTTTATTATTAATCGGAATTAGAAAACCATTCTATAGAGAACTATCATCAAATTAGAAAAAAAAATACTTACAAGTAAATTTTTATTATAAAAATCATAACACTTACCTGATTTATAAATCCGGAGAATTCCAAAATAATATGTCCTTCATTTGAAAACTTTATTCTCAAATAATAGATACATAGATTATCCCTTCATTACTTTAAGATAACATACCACACAATAAAATTTTATAAGTGCAAGATCTCGATATGAATTTCAGTATGTAACTTAAAAACATAATACCTGAATTCTAGTTGAAATTCATCATTCAAAATTAAAAAATACTCACCAAGAAAAAGATAAAAATGTATTAATAATCAACATAAATGATATTATTTCAAGTAATTCGTATGATTCTTTATTGTTGTTTTCCGAATTATATAGATTCAGAAATATATACTATTCTATAACTATTACAGTTCTGCACGTTCTGAAATTACATTTATTCATTGGAATGAAGTAAGCAATGTTGACTTCACTTTAATCTGTAATGAATTGAAGACAAAAAATGTATTTTACCGTAATACACACATTTGTAACGGAATGCGATCACGAAATCAGAAATTATCGGTTGCAAGCTTGTTAATGAAAGGTAAAAATTATTGAGAAATTGCTCTTTAAATGTTTGGCGTCTACTGTTTCAAAAAGATTTACCAGTGTTCTGGTTAGTTTTTTCAAGTTCTTCTGCCTTTTCCTTAGGGAAATTTTGCTTCTTATTTGGTACTAAGAAAATGGTGTCCGACTCTGCCAATGATTATGATGGAACTAAATGAAAACCTTATAAGCAAATGCCTGATATTTTCAGGCTCAGCTAGAGGGCGTACTCAAGCGTTGCGATCGCGAATACCTTTATGACTTACGTCAATCTCGTGCTGATGGCAACCAAACCAATATGAAAATTAATGGGAAAACTGGATCTACCATGTGAGTTCCTGACCAATAAAAATGCACCGTCAACAATGAAAAACTGCGACCCCATCATTAGATTTTTGCGTATGGTAAGAAACAAATTACAATCAGTTTTAAAAACATATAAATTGAGATATCACTTATAAGTAACACTGTACTGACATGGAAACGAATACATAACATCCAACGCTCCTCTCTTAAACTTCTACATAGCTGCTAGCAGATTTCAAATTGTACTTGTTCCCACCTTGGTGTCTAATAAATATAATTTTCTTATTCTGGAATTTATTTTTCAGAAAAATTAATTTTTACACGCATTTGTAAAATATACAAGTACGTTATGCATGTATGAATCAATTATACTAGGCAACTACAATCACCGAGAACAACGAGTCTTACTTTTTACATGCCTTGTCTTCACTCGGTACTAAACTATTTATTGGCGTGTATCGTTTACAGTTGTGAAAACTATTGTAGTCGTTACTTTTTTTGTAGTTTGTAGTGCAGTATGATACATTTTAAAAAAAGTTAGTGGGACACAAAAAAAGAAAAAAACAGTAGTTTGTAGCTATTCCTGGCAATTACTTTTTACGTAAATTTAGTAAAGAAACAGGGTTCTAACACGACTAATTCTTCGAATTTGATATGTGCAAATCTTCATGGGTCTATCAATGGATGTAGTTTAAAATGCCCCTTTGACTATGAGTTAACTAGAATTGCGTATTTAGAGTCACGTATAACTAATATTTAAGTTACGAATAATAGATAATTGATCACCTTGGTCAAACTTTCACATGTAAATGCACAATGCACCAAAAAAATTAACCACCCTGAATAGCTTTTGTTTTCGGCCGAGTTACGGAAAGCCGAAAATCGAATTTTCTGTTTTCTATTTCAATTATCGGCCAGAGAAATCGAAATTTAAAAAAAAACAGAAGAGAAAAACGTATTTTTATTTCGATTTTTCAAGAACTATTGGACCAATTTCCCACAAATTTTGTATTTTGCCATGTAAACTTAGATACTGTAAAATGATGTAAAAAATTGACGACTATTATTATAAAATTGACGAATATGTCGACTATTATTATAAAATGGACGATTATGTCGACTATTATTAAATAAAATTAAAAAAAAAGTAATAAGTATTTATTAAAATGTATTTTTAGCGTGGAATTGTCTTTAAATAAACGAATTTTATAATTTTGTGAAAAAAAATTTCGATTCGCATAAAAAAAGTTCTCAAAATATGGCGAAATACGTAAAAAAAAAATTTACACTAACTTTTGATCGTTTTTTTTTTGAGGCACAAACTTTGGATCGTTCTCCTGACCTAACTATTAGGACCCTATTTTCCCCTCGTTTCTTTATAGTTTGTGGGTCAGAAATCCAAATCCGCCGAAATAATGGTATGTTTATTCAGGAAAAGTACGTTTTTGTGTCTGATTTCGTAAAATATCGTCTCATCATCTGCACCAATAAATTAGCATATTTGAGGTCTTCGAACCCTTAAGATTAAGTCCTAAAGCATAAAGATCCATTCATTAGATCAAAAGTTATTCAGGGTTCGTTTTTTTTAACGCAAGAGTGTACACTGGTGAAACATTGATGTTATTTTAAAAGAAGGGAACATAAATTTCTGAGAGGAAATAAAAGAGCATTAAACACTTGACAAAATTACAAGTATTTCATAATTTTCTAGCGTTTCTTAAATAAAATATTCGCTGTCATGAAAGGCATAAAATGTTGAAGACTAAATGAACAAATTCGAAAAAAATATTTCAGAATAAGAAACTGGCTCACGTAAACACGATTAAATATTCAAAAATTCCTTGCGTTTAATATAAGCCAATTTTCAATACAAAACCATTTTTAACCTAGGTGTAAATTAAATTCTTCAACGAAGTTTGGTTCCTTAAAGTAGTGAAGTAGTCATTACATTTCGAAAGTACTTTCTAATCACTACATTTGTAAAAAAGTAGTTGTAGTTAATTACATTTGTAACAAATTAGTTGTAGTTTTAGCAAACTACAAAAATAATGTAGTTTATCCGACTATCTAAATAAATAATCAAATTAATGGATGATAGCATATCTAGTGGCCTTAAAAAATGTTGATATTTTTCGACGATAGTCAGTTCTACGAAAAACTACTCTGAATAACTTTTGATCTAATGATAGGATCTTCAAGTTCTAGAATTCAAACTTACTATGGATTATTTCAATCTTTCTAGGATTCCTCAATTATGCTTAATAATAAGTGCAGATGATATATTTTAAGTTACGTAATCAGACACAAACATGCTTTGTGTCTGAATAAACATACTTTTTTCATTCCGACGGATTTGAATTTTTGACCCTCAAAATATAGGGTAGTGGTAATTAACTAGTGTTACGAAATCCGATACAAAAATGCACTGAATAAACTTCTTTTTTTTTGTTGATGGATTCAGATTTCGGACCCCTAAAATATATGGGGTCGCCGCATTCGGGGAAAGAGGGTACCCATAGTTCTGTCAGGAAAATGGTCTAAAACTTGAATCCTTTAATGCTAATTTCCTTTTCTACGTATTTCGCCATTTCTGAAAAACTTTCTATGCTGATTGAAAAATTTTTGCACGCAATTATGAAATTCGCTTGTCCTAAAATAATTTCATGCAAAATAGGTCTTTTAGTAAACATGATTATTTTTTATTATTTTATTTAATAACAGTCGAACCAATTTGAATCATAAAGTAAAATCATGAGTCATTTGAGCGAAATTGACCAAATAATTCCTGAGAAATCGATTTTTAAATAAGCCGTATTTTAAAAATTCGATTTCCCACAAATTATGTATTTTCCCATGTAAAATTACTTTCGTTAAAATGATGTAAAATATTACATGTCTTTCAATTCAGAATTTTTTCTGACCATTATTAAATAAAGTAATTAATACTTACAAAAGTTGTATTTTCTGTGGAATTATCTTTGGGAAAACGAATTTTTGTAATTGTGTGGAAAAATGTTTTCAATTTGCTTAGAAAGTTCTCGAGATATGGCAAAATACGCAAAAAATATAATTAACATTAAGGGTTCAAACTTTAGATCGCTCTCCTGACCAAATAATGGGAACCCTTTTTCCCAGATTGCGGTTATCCCCTATATATTTGTGGAGTCCGAA